GGGAAAAAAGGGAGGAAGGGATCAGTGAAAATCCAGCAGAGTGGACTCAGGGGAAGGGTTGGAAGGGGGTCATCATGTCTGTCATCTTCCCAGTCTACTTGCACGCTGGAGCAGCAGAGAGGAGCTAGGGCAGACTGCTGGGGATTAAGTCCTTGCTTCCTGAGACTTCCTAAATGAGGAAAGGGCTTGGCAGGAGTGAGTACCACAGGTCAGCATCACCCTGTAGAATAGGAGTTTCCTGCTTTCCAGATAAGCCTGCTGCCTTTTGAAAATTGGGGCAACCCCTTGGCTAAGCCTGCTGAGAAATCAGACCTGGCTCCCGAAAAATCATCTAGTTCCTAATTACCAGCTCCTCTTCCTGCAATCACTGCTTACCTTCATCTCCCGGGCATTTTTGTCGCGAGCCCTCTCCATTCTCCACAGCTCTGCCATGCACTTATCCAGGTTGGTGGCTCTTCGTTGGTATTCCAGCTCATACTGCTTCTGGCTCTCCTGCCAGGGAGAAAACAGGCTCAGTAAGGAAACAGAGACGCAGCCACACTGTGAGGCAGCAAGGGTCCTGCTCTGATGGGTTGTTGGACATCTGAGTCCACCTGCAACCAGGCTTCACCTGGACCTCCTATGAAATGTCTTTCTTTGCCTTTCTTTTAATTTTAAATGGCCCAAGAGTGCTGATGAACCTCCAGGTCTCAGGAGCAAGGACTGTCACCCATCTGCCGCAGCACTGGGTCCCAAGGCCTCTGTCTTCCCCTGTGACACTACCCACCAGCATGGCCAGCTGGGCCATGGCAGCATAGGACCCGCAGAGAAGCAGAGCCTGTGGTTTGGGGAAGATGGGAACTCTGCTTTTGGAATGCTGAGTCTCTCAGCCCCACTGAAGCATTTGGCGAGTCCCACTGCATAAAGAACAGCCACCTGCCCTCTTTAGCTCTCCATCATCAGCTGAAAAATGGGAGCTTGTTCCATGATGGGAGAAGACCTCCTATCTCCTGCTGAGAAGAATCATGGAAACACCTCAAGTGTTGAAGCAAAAACCCTTTGGTGAAGGGGAGAGAGAAGCAAGAGAGCTGAGGAGGAGAAGGGAGTTCATTACTTACACTGATAAACTGCACATCCATTTTGCTGTTTTTCTCCATATGCTGCAGCAGGTCCACGTGGAAGGTCTGAGCCTGAAAGAGGCAAAGGAGCCATCACCTTTATCCCTTCACCATATGGGATGTTGCATGAACGGTGATAAGGGGTGGCTCATAGAACATGCTGAGCAAGTCACTCACAGCCAGGCTCTGGGCATGCCAGCCCTGTAAGCCTCCTCTGCCACGTGCAGCAGGGATGCAGGCACCTGCCTGCAGGCATGTGTGAGGGCAGCTGATGGGGTGAACATGGTAAATGCTGATAAGCCCTATCTAAGGAAATCACTTTATTCTCCACCTCCACCAGCCCTTGGGAAAACCACTCACCACAACTTCCAAATCAGAGCTCAGTAGTCTCTGCGTGTCAGACATCTGCATCAGAATTTCACCTTGGGGAGGGAAAAAGATAGGAGAAGGTGAAAAAGTCCTGTGACAATTTTCTCGTGTGCCCAAGGAGGCAGACCTGCAGCGTGGAGCTCAGACTGATGACCCAGGGCTGTGAAAGTCCAAGAGATATGACAAAGCACTGCTCTCTGAACCCTTCCCAGGCACTGCCAATGCAGGCTTACTCCAGCCCAGTGCTCTGCTACAGCCCCAGGTGTCAGCAGAGGCAGAGCCTCTGCCGTGGGCTCTGGGTGCTGGGATTTTGCTCTGCCACAGCCCCTACAGGCCCCATTTCTAACCCCAAAGGTTCCCCAGCTGTGATGAACATTTTTGCTTGTCCTATGGGAAGGCAGTTTCAGCACCCACCCCAATGCTGTACATGGTCCTGTCTCACCAATGCTGGCACTATGAAATCAGGAAAGGAAGAGACTGATGAGGGGAGCAGAGGAGCTAGCTGGGAGGTGCAGATGATAAAAAGAGTCTGCAGAAGGGGCACTTCTGCTGGAAGCTTTTTGCTAAAATGTTTAGCAGTGGAGCAGTTCCCTGACTTTTCAGCAGTTGCCACCAGGCTGCAGAGTTATTTACAGTGCTGAGTGTAAGCCCCTCAGCCCCAAGCTGCCATTCCAGACAGTTGCAGGCTCAGGAGGACAAAACACCATCAGTTGTTGTCAGTGCATGCTCCCTGGCTTTTCCCTCACACCTCCAAGGAGGAGAAAAATGCTTCCTCTGTGATGAAAATTTCATCTCTGGGGGCAGGATGCCTCAACAGGGACTGGTTTCTGTGGGAGGTCCATCCCTGGAGGCCCATCACAGCAGCTGAGCTCACTCACTGATCTCAGAGAGACACAGGGAAGAGTGCTGGGACTGTGTGATGTATTCAAGGACACACAGTAAGTTTGACTGGCACCACCTGGACAGTGCCTGGTACAGAGAGACACCATTTAGAGGAGCTGTCTTTCTTGCCCCAGTACCTAGAAATGGACCAACTAAGGGAGAGGGTAATACAAAAGGTAACTGTGGTGACTTACCCCAGGGAAGGGGAGATGATGTGCAAGAGTGCCTTACCCAGCATGTGTGAGGTGGAACTCTGCAGTGCTTGCTCCCCGATCTTCTCAACTGCCTTAAAATACACCTCAGCTGCTTTGGACAATGCTGTGGGGAGAGGAGAGGGGTGATAAGGGTCTGACCTGCCTTCCCACCATCACCAGCTCCAGCAAGCAGCCACCTCCTGCTACTTTGCCTACAGGCATCCCATCTCTCCCCATCGGCAGTGGGTCCTGGAGCTGAAGAGTGCTGCTCAGGGCACGCCAGAGGTGGCAGACCAGCACCCTTGTCCTGGGTGAGGGGATAGGGGATGGCCAGGCTGGATGCAGCACTCTGGTCTGGAGCCCTGGCTGTGTGGGACCCCACTCACCGTGGAAGGCACGCAGGTAGTTGTTCCCCAGGTACACCAGGTTCTCCAGCGCAGGGTTGAACTGCTCCAGGATACTCTGTGGCCAGGCAGAAGCACGTTAATGCCATTCTTCCTCATGCCCAGCAGGTCAAGGCCCCTGTGCTGTGGTTGGGCTGGGTGAGAGCCCCCTCTGGAGCCCTGGCATGGAGGCCATGTACAGCCAAGCACAGCCAGCTCCCTGCATGGGGGCTGGCTGGCAACTTCAGCTGCCCTTGGACAAGCTAGCCAGGAGAGGAGCCGCAGCAGAGGGCAAGGTAGCCAACTGCGGAGCCAAGTGGTTGCCTAAATGAAGATGGCTTTCTCACAAGGGCCCACACCCACTGCAGGCAGGGAAATAACTGCAAGGGGATCTGAGCAGCTTTTTCCCTCACCCCACAGCCAGCCAGAGGGCCACTGCTTACTATCCAGGCACAAACACAACCCTTTCCTGGCCAGGATGTGGTGCACAGCCAGACTCAGCAGCATAGTAAGAGGAGGGATGGATAACCAGCTTCTCTGCTTTTATTTGCATTTATCAAAGGTGTCCATTGACTACAGAGAAGACAGAGACCAGAATAAGCATATCCCCACTTCTGTCAGCCCTTCCCCCACCTTGGTTCAGCACTGATGTGTGTAGGGAAGTATTTATGAGATCAGAGACTCTTTCAAGGGAGGAGTGAAATGGCCGATCAAACTTCTTCCTGCCAGCAACCAAGGTGTGTCACCCTTCATGCTCCATGTCCAAACCACCCTGGCTGCCCAGTTCCTTCCTGAATCTGCCCTCAGGACCCACACTGCCCTCTCCTCCTGCTCCCACAGCCTGGAGCCCACAGGAGCTGCTGTGGTACAGTCTGGGAATGGATTCAGCCCTCAGCTGTCCACCCAAGGGAGCCCTTGGCAGAAAACACTCATCTCCCACCCACAGGTCTCCCATATGCCGTCAGGATCAGCCTTTGATGCCAACACTCACCTTATAGATGGAGATGGTGGATCTGTAGGACAGATCCATCTCTGGATCCTATTCCCTCTCCCACAGAGAAACAAGGAGCAAAGGAGAATACAAGGTGCTGTTCTGGCCTGGAGGACTCTGCTTCTGCACAGCCAGCTGGATGGAAGAAGCCTGTCACCAGCAAGGAAGGACAGCAGGAAGACACAGACGTGGTACAAAGGGAGCACTGATGGAGTTTAATAATTCACCAGCCGAGAGGCTGGAACTTGATCTCTGGAAGTAACCAGACTCTGGGGGGGAGAGAGGAATCCTGCGACAGCCAGCAAGGACATGTGACCGCCTCTTTGCATTATTGATTGCCAGCTTGGTACCCAGCTCTGCCTGTCCTGACACCTGCGGCGCCGGCCACCTGCCCGAGTCACCGCTTATGGCTCGCTGCCTGCGGCACTGCCACCGCTCCGACGCGGCTTGCTCAGCCTCACCGTGCCCAGCCAGTGAGGCATCTTCAGCTCTCTCTCAAGTCAGGAGTTCCCTATCGGCTTTCGATCACAGGCAGCAAAGAGCAGCAGGCAGGGGGGAACGCAAGGAAAGCTCTACAGAAACTTCAGCTCTCCCCTGCCCAAATTCCCCCACCCCAGGCTCTGGCACTTAGCCTCCCTCCCACTGCCACTGAAACTCTATTAACAGGAGGAACAGGCTTCTGTCTGAACCCTTTCCCAGGTTTCACTTCTGGTGAGCTGGGACCAGCACTGCCATTGTGATTTCTTCTGGGCACATGCCTGGGAAGAGATGGATCAAGAAGAACCCACTGCTTTATTTTTTAGGCCTGGACAGCTCCAAGAGGATCCTCATATTGCAGCTGGTCCAAAGCCTCTACTCTGGTTGCAACTGCTGTGGGGTAACCAGCCATTCACACACCACCCACGTGCTCCCAGGGCTGGCTGCAGGGACAGCTCATTCACCTCTTCAGCCCATACAGGATTTATACCCTTTGTGTCTCAAGGAGCCCCTTTTCTTATTTTCTGTAAGATTTGTAAGAAATGCAGAGTCTGCAAGCCTAGAACCCCTCTGAGAATTTGGAGTGAAAAGAAAAGACCACCATGGATTGCATGACATTGGAACCAAATGCAAATCCTTCTTTATTTTAGAACATGTTAGGTTTCTCACAGAAACAGGCAGCAGCAGTCCATTCACTCAAAAGAAAAACATTAAAAATTCAGTTTTTCAGGTTACTCTTCAAAACACCTTCGGATAGATACATAAATTATTTATAAATGTGCAAAAATTACTGCAGAAACAACGAGTGGTGTAGCAATCACAGTAGAATTTCCAGTTGTAATAAAAAAGCAAATCCAAATTGTCACAGGGCTGGCTTCTTTGCTGGGAACCGATCTCAGAGCATTTCAGTTTCATGTTAAGAATAAAGAGAAATGATCTCTCTACCAAGCCAAGGCTTTTGTCCCTTCCACTGAACTTGCTGTGAGTAAAGACAGGCTTTCACATCTCAGCCCCTGCGCAAAGTGTAACACAGCAAATCAGTGGCACAATAAAGTCCTGGGTGGGGAGGCTGCTCCCTCCCCAGGCATAGTGTTGTCAGCCCATCTCAGAGGGGAAAGGAGAAGCTGTTGCAGAAGACAATTGTCTCAGGAAAGGCTTGCCCTTCTCCCAAGGCCAGTTGCAACTTTCTGTATCATACCTACTGCAAAAACGTGCAGCATTTCTGCTCCCCTCCGAACTGGGTGTGTTGAAGGAAAAATAATCCCTTTTTCCCATACTATACAACCTGAAATACCTTGGGCCCAGTGGGCCAAGCAATCCCTGAAGCTTTATCAGGCCTAGGCCCATTCTGTGACACAGGAAGGTGCACGGTGCTTTGTCAGTGGAGTTACTGCACAGACCGGAGATGTTCCAGCTGCTACAGCTCAAGACAAGTAGGTGAGGGCTCTGGATATTCTGGGTCAGAGAGCAGGGCAGCAAAACCAAGCACAGCAGCAGAGATGGGTTTACAGCACAAAGATAACTGTCAGCATTTCACAGCTATCATACATGTCATACATTCTGTGTCTGGGAATACATGTGTATGTGCACTGTTGTCTATTCAATACTAATTCCTCTCTCTTCGACTACTACAGGTCTCTCCCCCACCTCAACACCTTGGCTCAAGGGTAAATCTGAGCCATTCAAGCATCTGCTGCTCCTTGCCTTCAGAACGCAGAGCGGGAATCTCCAGGTCAGTCATCGGCAGAGATACTGCACCAGCTGCTCAAACTGCTCCCGCTGCTGGTAGATGTAGAGCTGGGTGTCCCACAGAGCGTTCACCAGCACGGCGTCGTTCACCTCATCCAGCATCACCTCTGTGTGCAGCTGAGGGCTGAGCCTGCAGACAGCGAGACAGCATCAGCAGCTGGGCACAGACACGGAGGTGGCCAGGCATGAGCCTGCCAAGCAGGACACTTCCACCAAGCAGCTCCCACAGCCAGGGCATTCGCTGGCCCTTGATCTGTCAGGCTTGCAGAGCAGAGGCCTTCACCCTCCTTCAAGGCCCAGCCACAGCAGAGCAACTGCAGCACATGAAGGACAAGTCTAAAACATGCTGCGCAGGGTGGAACAGGGCAGGATGCACATCCCAAAGGACTGTGCAAGACAGCACGTCCCAAATCTCCCTTAGCTAGCCCAGACCAGGCGTGCTGGGTGCCTCAGGTCATGTGGAGGGCCAGGGCACGCTCCATGCTGTCACTGAGGCGTGTGCAGGGGGCAGGTCTGCATCGGCACGCCTCTGGAGGGGATGCCATTTGGGATGACGCATGCCACAGCCAGGTCTGAAGCGAGAGGGATAAAAATAGGTCTGTGCAAAAGAGCAGAAAGGAAGCTCCTACCGGAAATATGGGACATCCGTCATCTCACACCAGGCCCTGGCACGATCCACAGCTGGGCCATCTGCGTCAGTGCACTGCAGGAGAAACAGGCCCGCAGTTACAGCCTGGCTGCTCTTCCCCTGCCTACCACAGGCTTCCCTGGCACCGAGTCCAACTGCACAAGTCCCAGAGGGAAAATAAAAACAATGGCATCCTGAATGGCACTGCTTGCCACCAAGAGTTGGGTGGCTTTTCTTCTTTATTTTTAATATAAGGGCGGTGCTCCTGATCTTTTTTTCCCCATGTTGCTCAGATGATAAACAACGCTTCCTGGAAAGATACTGAGTTTCACAAACTCACACCTGCAAATGTTCCCAAGAGTCACTGACTACCATCCTGTCCTTAGCTCCTTTCAGCTGCAAAAATATCCCTTGGGCATGAGTGTCCCTTTGGGGCACTCAAACCCCCAAAGAATCAGACAGATCTTCAGGCCTGCAGTGCTCCTGCAATTCTTAAGTCACCCACTACATCCATGGCCAGAGCAGTTCCAAGGAAATAGAATTTACTTCCAAAAGGAGGAAGCTGGAAACCTTTTCTCCCTCCCCGCAAGCAACCCCAGGGGTCTTTTGCCATCCCCTCCTCCCAGTACTTACACAATCCACCACCATCCTGCCAAGCTCCCTGGCCCCGAAGACGGTTTTCGCCAATTCCCAAGGGTTTGAGGGGCGGAAAACATCCACAGAGCTCACTGGGACCTGTGGAGGCTTCCCTGTTCCCAGGGAGACCACCAACCCCAATTTTCTCACTTCCTGCTTCCGACCCTGAGGACAAACAAAAGATCTGTTTGCAATGACCAACAATGAAAGTGAAGCACGTCTTTCACAGCAGCTTCCTGGGGAAGCCCTGAAAGCCAAGGCAAAAGGCTCAACAGCCTTTTCTCCCCCCATCCTCCCCCTGAGTAAGGCCTGGTGAGACAGCTGTAACCCACAGGACTTCAACAGTTGTACTGCTCTGTCCCTTCTCCCTTGACCACACTCAAACCCATGGGACCACCCTGGAGATGAGTCCTAGGACCAGGTGGCCATGAAACAGTCCAACTCTTCAGTCATTTTGGCAAACACCTCCCCTTTCAGTTACAGGAAGCAATTAGCTGCCACTGGTTATTCAACTTTAAGAAGTTGCCATAGCTCAGAAGGCATCCACTCTTCAGCCTTGCAGAATACCTTGTCCTTGTCTTCTCCATTTATTTTTGGGCAGAAAAAGGCCCTGCAGAGCCATGTCAACAGCCACACCCAACTATCAACTGAACCATCCTTGTTCAAAGCAAGGAGAGGCTGATGAGACTATCTCCCCCTCTCACACCCTTGTTAGATGGCTGGGTGGGAGCCAGCCATTAACTCCTCCCAGCCACTGTTCCAAACATATAGCCTCCTCCATAGACTCCCTTTTGGGAGTGCTGCACTGCTAACTTGTTTATCCACTAAGATGCATCTACTCTCACACTCACTTCTTCTTCAAGAGAGGCTCAGTGGGGCCAAGAAACTCCAGTTACCAGTCAAGGCTAGGATTTCCCTCCCTCACCTTTTTGATCAGTGTCTTGTTGTACTCATGGATCTCTGCCATGGCATCAAGGGTGGGGTTGTTGGCCAGCAGCCCTCCATCCAGGAAACGGCCAATGGGTCGGAAATAAGTGGGAGCTGCACCGCTGCAGCGGGCAGCACGCCACACGAGCTGCTCTGCAAGGGACAGAGAGCAAAAGGCCTCTTGCAGCAACTCTGCTGTACACAAAAAGCATCCCAGCTCCACCAACACAAATCAGGTTGGCTTGCAATCCCAGGAAACCCTGCCCCTCCCATCTGTAGGGCTTCTGCTTGGATGCACAGGATGACTCTGTGGGGCTTTAAAAGATGTTCTCATCACTTCCTACATATCCTGGGTCAAATTCACCCTCTATCCATTTCCTTACTGCTATTTTGAAAGTGAACCAGTTATGTGTGCCAGACAAGGCAGCAAGCTGGAGGGGGCTGCACACTTTGGTTACATGGCTTTTCCATGTTTTCCTGTGGGAGCCCAGGGAAATATGCTGACTGTACACAGACCCCTTTCCTCATGAACCTTGCTAGCCAGCCCCTGTTCCTGGTACAAGAGAAGGCAAGGGAAGGAGAGAGGAGAAATGGGAAGCATCACTAGGATCTAGTTAGAAGTCAAGACCAGGGATGAGCCATTGCTGATTTTCAGAGCAATGGGAGGAAGAGCATGAAATCTGTCTGTGAGGGATGAAACCTTCCCAACCAACCAGCTGGACTTCTGTGTGCCATCATTTACCTTCTGGCTGAGTGAGTGGCTGGAAAGATGCACTTGTCTTGTATTCAGTGGAGCATTTTGTCTCTGGTACAGGGTAATTCCGGAAAAGGTGGAGCTCAGCTGGCTGTCGGTCACACAATGTCCCTGTCACCATAACCCTGGAGAAGCAGACATGACAGAATAGGAGTAAAATGGAAAAAAACCAAAAACTTACGGTTTCAATAGTCTGCACATCTGCTCTAAGATCTGCTCTAAGGAGAGGCTGAGCATCTCTGCTGAGACAGGTCTAGAGCACGTGCAGGACAGCATCAACCAGCACAGCCTGAGGCAGGACTTACTTGGGTTTTCGGACATCTGTCATTTTGGTGTTTTCCCCAAATTCCTTCTTCAAGAACTCATCCAGGGGCTCCGACTCGTAGGGCCGAGACCCCCGGAACACCATGTCCTTCATGCGGAAGTACAGGCAGCGCATGTAGTCCATGGACTTCCCTGAGATGGGCAACAGTGTTGCCAGGAGCAGGCAGTGGGAGGAAAGGCAGGCAGAACAAACAGCACATCAGAGCAAAGATTTCCCAAGACAAGCAGAGGATGGGAGGCATCACTCCCAATCCAATTCCCTTCCCAAGCTGCCTGTCACCTGCTTAGTTTCTCAGCAGCATGACTGGGAAGGATTACAGAGGAAGAGCAAGCTTGGAGCAGTTTCCCGTTACCAGAATATCAATCACCTTGCTCTAAGGCCTCTGTAGAGAGCACAGGAAGTACACTGAACTCTGCCACCATGCGCTCCCCAAAACCCAGAAAGCTGCTCAAAGCCAGCTGACACGAGAAGCAAGTATGAAGCCAGGTCGAGGGTTTCCTTCATTAAGGAACATCCCTTCCCTCCTTTGGCAGGCAGAAAAGTCTTGTCGGGACTCAGCTCCCACCACACGTCTGCTCCCCCGAGAGGAACACTCAGGCCCACCGGTGTGAGAAGGGACCCATTACATCCTTACCATGTACAATAGCCAAGGCCAAGATCCCTCCAGTGCTGGTCCCTGCAATCCAGTCAAAAATCTCACGAATGGGACGGCCTGCGGCCTTTTCAATAGCCAGGAGAAGCTGGATGAGCACAAGGCCACGGATGCCCCCTCCATCCAAGCACAGGAGCCGGTCCTGACTGGAGAGAGACAGACACAGATGACTGGGAGCTGTGGGACAGATTACAAATCACAGAATACTCTGTGGGAACATGGCCCTGGGGACGGGAAGCTATGCCACATTGCTGCAGATGGTGTAATTGGTGAATGAATAAATCCAGCAGTGCCTTCTCAGGTGCAAATAAAGACACATCCAATAAGCATTATTAATAATTAATAAATAAGCTGGTGCAACATTCTTTGCTCTTGCATAGCCATCTCTAACCTTTACACCAGAGAGACAGTCACCAGCCAAAACCACACCCAAGTCCCTTACTACACAGTAATGGGTATTGTGTCATAAATAAAAAAAGCAGACAGACCCAAATCCTGCCAGCAGCACTTCAGTGCCAACTCCTCCTCCACTCCACACAAGGCGAGGTGCTGGCACTGCCAAGACAGTGCAGAGGAGCTGAGTGAACATCATGGCAGTGTGTAGAGATGGGGAAATCACAAAGCCAAAACAGTGCTGGCTGCCCAGTAGCACAGGGGAGGGACAGAGCAGGGTTTCAGCTCCTCAGCTCAGGCTCCACTGCAGCTCCAGGCTGGGATCATTTATAGAAACAGAGATTTCTCAAAAGATGCTGGAAAAACTGCAATGTTGATGGATGCTAAATAATGTCAGCTCTGAGGATGCCATCCACATGGGTGTGGGAGGGGAGGACTCACACACAGATTTCACCTTCAAGTTGCACAGGAGCCTGGACAGAAGCTGTTCCTCACTTACTTTCTTCTAGCCTCACTGGGCATGTCCACAACATCTGGTGCCTTCAACAACTGTCCGAGCGTTGTGGAAATATACAAAAAGTCCTTGTACCCTAGAGGGCCATGAACATGCAAAAGGAAAAAAAAAATAAATTAGAGATCACCAGTGTGGAACTGATTTATACCATGAACAAAGAGAGAATATCCAACTCCCTTCCCCATCAAATAAAGGTCCCTGCAGGAGACACAAGATATCTTACCCACAGCCAACAGGTACCCCCCAAATTTAACTCCACACCAAAGGACAGCAACACCACCCTTTAGAGCAGGCAGCTGTAGATGCACTGGAAAAGACAGGATTTGGAGAAGCAGATGATGTGCACAATGGGTGAGAGAAGGCAGAGCCCAGCAGCGTGCCCACTATGCAGTTTACTGAAAGCTGTTAAGATAAAACCTAAATCTACTCCTCAAAGTAACCTAGGCAGGAGAGCTGTGGGGACAGGGTGACTTGTCATTACCCCTCAGCTGATGTTCACCCAGGCCACCCTGAGTGTGGGGCACCAATCCAAGCTAGGTGAGAAGCCAGCCTGCAAAACCAAAAGAAGAAAGAACGGGGGGAGAAGTTACATATTCCAGCCAGCACCCAGGCCAGGAGGTGGCTGTGGATGATGGTGAATTGTAGTGAGGAGTTTCTTCAATGGCCAGAGTCAATGATAAAAAAGGGTTTTGCTCTGTCACTGCATCAGAGCTGAAACTGGGCATGGGTTGTCTTCACTAGGCTGTGGTGAGAAGAAAGTCCTGGTGTCAGCAGCCACTGAGATTTGTGGTGACACAGACACATTCCAGGATTGTCCTCCAAAGGACCACAGGAAAGCCTTTTCAAAGAAAACCTCCAGCCTGAAATGGGAAGTTGTCCACAAGCAGATGTTAGCTGCTTGCATGCTCTTCTCATGACCCTCCAAGTCAAATCCTCTGCTGCCTAGTCTACAACCCCTCTTGTTGTCTCTTCCTGAGCTCTGGAGCCTCCTGAAGGCAGAAAGCCTGTCACTTAGAACAGACCCACGTGCTTATTCACACAGTCTGGGCAGCATAGACCACAAGATTCAACACAATCCTATGTCCCAAGGTAGGCTTTCCCTATGCATAACAAATCCCACGATCAAGGTTGTTTATCCTCAGGCTCCACCCTTTCCAGCTGCTGGCCTCCAGGATCTGAATAAGTGACATTTCTTAAATCTCCTTGTGCCTAGCACAATACTGGGAAGTCCTCAAAGCAGACCAGCAAGCACCTTCCCTTTTATACATGACCCAGTGGATAAAGTACCTGCAGGCTAAGTGCCCCCTCTACCAGAGATGTGAGAGAATCAGTCTTTTTACAGAGCTACATTGTATCAGGCCTATAAAACAAATATTTTGAGCACAAGAGTTTAGAATACACACAGAGGAAAAGCAGAGAAAAGAGATGGGATCCTGCAACAGGTGAATGAGGACAGAGTCACCACAGAGTCACCAGACTAGTGAGAGCTTTGACAATTCCCAGAGCATGGCTCATCTGTAGAAGAGATCTGAGACAGCACTGTGAAGCAAGAAGGGAGAAGAGTGAGGGAGGGCCAGGGAAGGCTTTACCTAAGCTGTTGAGGTTGCTCCGTGAGGAAGGCTGGCCTTCCAGGAAGGAGACAGCAGATGATTCCAGGCCTGGGGAGTCAGTGTTGGGAGGTGGGTGGCAGCGTTCGGTCCCTACAGTTTGCAGCAGGTCTAAGAGCACTTTCCGGTTTGCACCTTAGGCGATGAAGGGGGAGTTACAGATCAGAAAGAGAATCAGTGCACACCACAGGGGAACGTGCTCTGCCGAATTCATAGCAGGCCTGACCCTCACAAAGCCTCTGGGATGGCCTGGGGAAGGGCAAAACACATCCCAGGTATTTCACCCCAAACTCCAGGCAGCAGGAGTATCCAGTGCTGTGCAGCTTCAAGGGCATGTGCCACACACTTCTTGCCTCTGAAGAACAGCCCATGTCTGCCTGTCCCTGGGCAGTTCAGCAGGGCTACACGATCCCACTGTGAGCCTGCAGTGCCTGACATGGTGACCCGAAAGAGGGGGGATGCATGCTAGCTTTTCCTCGTGCATCTCTGTGTCACAGAAGAGAAATTCATCAAGGGCTATTAACACAAAACCTGTGCTGCTAGCAAAGTAGGTGCCTACTACGTGAGCAACTAGAAGCTGGGAAAGCATGTTGGAGAAGCATCACCCATGCACAGCATGTTTTCACCTCTCCCCAAGTGATTGTTTTGGCCACCAAAGGGAGACAGGATGCTGGGCTCACCCTGTAAGGCTGCTGACATGCTCCCTCACCTTTGCTGCTCCTGGCTGCCAACAATCCTGGTGTCTCCCCAAAATCATTCGGGACCTCAACATCTCCTCCAAAGACAATGATTGCTTTGATCATATCCAGGTGGTCATGCTAGAAGAGAAGAGAACGCTCAGTCAAGAGCCATTACACGATTTCTCATTCCTTCCCTCCGTTTTTCGTTAGCCAAAGCACCCACAAGGGAACATCACACGAAAGAGTCAGAATTTCAAAGGACTCTGTCACCATCTCAACCCTTCAAGAAAATCATCTCTCCTTCCCAGCAGCCGCTGCAGAAAGCTCACCTTCATGGCCAGGTGCAGCGGTGTGTTGCCATCGCGTCCCCGGGCGTTGGTGTGGGCGCCGTGTGTCAGCAGGACCATGGCGCAGTCCAGGCGGCCCCGCTGGACCGCAATGTGCAGAGCCATGTCGGCCGTGCAGCTGCTCGCATTCACATCCGAGCCGTACTCCAGCAGCAGCCGGGTCATCTGTGCCACGTCCAGAAGAGATAAAGCAGTTGTGAGGACAGCCAGCAGGGCATCCAAACCGTCCGGGTCTCAGGGCAAGCAAAGCAGGGGAACAGGAGGCAGCCTTAGCCTGGATACAGCTGGCTGGCAGAAGCCAGATGAATTTTTCCAAGCACTGGGGTTTCTCTGTCTTCTACCACAGAACTAGTTAGTGGCTGCACAATCTGGCTGGAGCTTCTGGATCCTTTGGGACTGATACACAACTATAATGAATGGCTGAGATCAGTGAAGAAAAAAACAGTTCCTACTCAGGCCAGGATACTGAAAGGGTAAATTTTGCCTTCTGAGCTTCTCTTTATAAGCCAAGAAAATTCAAGTTTGCTCTGAAACTCCACAAGACATCTCTGAGAGGAATGGGATACTGCAGGAGAGAAAAGAGCCCTGCTATAGCAATGCCTTCTGCCTGCAACAAGCGTCATTCAGGTGCTCCAGCACAGCGTATCACCATCCTGCCCAGCTCTGGCAGGAGATGGACTTTCACCTACGTGCCACCACTCTGTGCCTACCTCACACTTGCCCTGCAGTTTCTAAGGCATCAAACTGTTTGCTCCCAGGAAAGTGGCAGGTAATGAGAAGAGAGCTCCCTCCAGGGGCAACTGTGTTTCATGGGCTGTGCACATGCACTCAGAAAGGGAAAGTTAGCCACAGAAGGAATTAAGTGAGTGCTGGATAGCAGCACAGCCCCCCCCAACCAAGGATTTGCTCTATTTACCTCTGCATTCTTTGCCCAATGCAGTGGAGTGGCGTCGTAGCGTGGGTCCTTGGAGCAAACCTGGCTGGCATCTGCCTCGAGAATGGCCTGGGCACACCTGGGAAAGAGAGTGAGATGACAGGATGGGTTGCTGCTGCCTTCACTCAAGGCCACTCACCTGCCTTCTGCCCAGAGGAAAACCAGGAAACCCTGCAATAGCAGGAACTCGGCATCTGCGAGTTCCTCAGCTGCATTTTTGTTTTGCTCTTCACAGAAAGTGTGGGCACAACAGGAAGCATACATGCCAAATGGTGTTGGGAGGAGCAGAAGAATCTCTCCAAGTCGTGGAGCAACATCTGTGTGCTTCTCTAATACAGGAATAAGGCATTTCTGGAAATTCTCCAAACCTGAGAAGCTAAATTCTCCTCCTCTCTTTCCATGGAAACACGGAATATAATTATAATAGTTAAATACTTGCTGAAATTAAGTACTTCCCTATGAGTGAAAAACCATACCTGTTGTGAACAGACCAATATCTGGTGCCTAGAAAACATGGTAGGTAGACTTATGAAATTTGATTATCTTCTCCACTACCACCAAAAAGACAAGAGATGGAGCCCCAGTGCAACCTCAGTGACCTATGCCCATTCTGAGCTTGTGAATGTGTGTCTAATGTTGGGAAGTACTTTTCAAAATGCTTAAAAAACAGCTACCAGCAGCCAGTGCTAACTTGAAAGCCCTGTTTGTAGAGCTTGAACACTTTCTGAACATTAAGTATTATAAAGCATATACAAAGGGAATTGAAGTTCTCCAAAGAAAACAGAGAGTAAATATTGTGCCTCCTTTGACTCAGTTCCAGAATATGTTATTAAGAGTCAAGAGTATCTCTGGCCTACAGGAGATAGGGAAAAGTAAGCTTTGAAATGAAAGCTTTTTAGGATCAGAGCACTCAAAGACAGAGGTACAGCACTTAACACTACTTAAGCATCAGTCAATTGTTTTCCTACAGCTCATTCTGAGAAAAAGTATCTCCCAAAATATCTTTTTAAATGTGTTTTTCTCCTGATGCTTGATACTGAATAAGGTATTAATTCAAGGATAAAATGGTTTTATTCTGAAAGCATTTATTTCTTTCCCATATCAGCACTTCCCTGTTCTTTTGCCAATGACTACACACAAGACCTGTCCTACTGAGCACAGCCCTGGACAATTCTGAGCAAGCATACAAGTCCCCAGAGCGGAGGGGACATTACATACCCCTTCTGGGAGAACTTCAGTGCTGTGTGGATGGGGTAGCCCAGTGTGCCCACAACGCTGCAGCTGGCACGGCACTTCAGCAGGGACCGAACCATGTCCTCCTTGCCCAGCTGGCACGCCAGGTGCAGAGCTGTCAGCCCCTCGTGGTTCAGGTGGTCCAAACCAGTAGTTGGGGTTCTGCCCAGGAGCTGGAAGGAGGAGACAGTAAATAAATAAAGAGACAAACATGGAAGAGCACTGTGTCTTCTCGAGCTCTGAGGACAGACTCTGGAGAATTGGACCCCTCACAATGCTACAGCCTATCCCTGCTCCCTGTAAATTGTAGATCTGTTATGTGCTGACTAGTTTGTTGCAGAAAAGTATCCCACTGCCACACTGAGGAAACCCTACAATCCCTGGTGCACACAAGAGAAGTGGGAATTTAGTTTCTTTTCTCTGGTTTAGCAAGGAACCAATACACAAAACATGAGACAGATGAGACAACAAGACAAGTTGATGCCACCAGAGAAATAAAGAGGATATCTTTTTAATACAAAGTTCCTAATTGGCCACTCCACTGCATGCCAAGCCCTGATTCTCACCCTACCTCATCATCCATTAGGAAACTCCAACACAGACTGGCAGGCAGAGGGAGAGCTATCACAACAGGTATTGGGCAAAAGTGGGGGTTGCAGCTGTGGGGAAGAGTCAGCCTCAGGCTCACACCAAGTCTTGGGGAGCTGAAAGATCTCAGGAACCATGTGCAAGGCCACCCACACCTTACAAACCCTGTCACTCTGTTCAGCACTTCTCAGCAATCAAGAACACCTATGACTTCAGACTGTATCTGCCCTGAGGTTCTGATCACTGTCCTCCACACAAGGCTACCCAGCTGAAACAGCAGGTCCTGCAGCTCAGGAGAGCCAAGGGCAGCTCCAAACTGTCCTTCAGCCTGTGGGCAACACGTGATCCCACGGCAGCCTCAACACACTCCTACAGGAGCACTCTGCCCGAAACCAAACACCCTGCTTGCAGGAGAGAGGGAACGGACAGCCATGGGCCTGAGGAAAAGCAGGATAAAGGCCTCATGCAAACAGCAGTGAAGGATTATTTTCTGAGGAAACCTGCTTAACGTCCTTGTTTAAGTTCTGGGAATCTATACTCTCAATATGGGAAACAGCACCAGTAAAGAGGGGATATACGAGGCTGAAATCAGGCTCAAGCAATAACTCAGCAGAGGGAACCGACTTTTTCTTTGCCTGTCTGCAGCTATTTTCCCATCTCTATCACAGCACAGAGAAGACCCATTCTAGTCTCACTTTCTCCCAGACTAGAAGTCGCTCCCACCTCAACGATCTGGGGGTTGTTTCCTCGCACAGCATAGTGGAAAACAGTCTCCCCGTTCCTGTCGGTGATGTCCACCCGCGCGTGGCACTCCAGCAGCTCCAGCAGGCACTCCATGTCCCCCTTGCGGCACGCCAGGTGCAGCGGGGTGCAGCCATCCTCGCTGTCCGTGCTGTTCACACAGCTGCAAGGAAGGATTCAGCGTGAGGCCCAGGAACAGCCATGGGGAGGAGGAGGGCATGCAGCTGCTCCAGGAGCTGACATAGAGGTACCCTCCACATCTGTCCCATCTGGTGTAAACCATGAAGATCAGGAAAGCCCAGCCTCTTGCCAGGGAAGAAGCACAGGGAAGAGCCATCAAGTAGCCCTGCCCTGGACTCTTTCCCTGATATGCTGCTCCTTTTCCTGCCCTCCATATGGAATCAGTTCCCTCTGCCCAAAGGAAAGCAGAAGGCAGGTTACAGTCAGCAGCCTGGCGATGGTGCTGCTATTTGCCCTCCAATTCCCTAACTCCCCACCAGTCTGCCCTATCCTCAGTAAACTTGTGCTGGTTTTGGCCAGGGTGGGTAGAGTTAACTTTCTTCACAGTGGCTGGTGTGGGGCTGTGTTTTGGATTTGTGCTGAACACAGACTTGACGATACAGAGATGTTTTTGCTATTGCTAAGCAGGGTTTACACAGAGCCTTTTCTGCTATTCATACTGACCCACTGGTGAGGAAACTGGGGATGCAGGGGAGGCTGGGAAGAAACACTGCTGGGACTGGTGACGAAACACTGCTGGGACTGGTGACCCCAACTGACCAAAGGGATTTTCCAGCCCATATGGCACCATGTTAGTATATATAAAAAGTGAGGGGAGCAGCAGGAAGGGGGGAACATTTGGAGTGATGATGGTGTTTGTCTCCCCAAGTCACCACGATGTGTGGTGGGCCTCTGGAGGTGACTAAAGACCTGCTTGCCCATGGGAAGCAGTGATTCAATTCCTTGTTTTACTTTGCTTGTGTACATGGCTTTTGCTTTCCCTTTCTTTATCTTAACCCAGGTTTTCTACCTTTTGCCCACTCCCTCTGGTGGGGGAGTGAGCGAGCAGCTGCATGGGGCTTGGCTGCTGGTGGGGTTAAGCCATAACAAATGTGAGCCAGAGCACCAGAACAACCCACTGCCCCCACACCACCACCACGGGCCGTACCGTCTGGTTGTTTGGCAGCGTTTCAGAGGCCCAGATGGGTCGGTTCAGGCTGGGTTTGCCCAGGTAAACATCCCACGTCTCCGCATAAGAGGACAAGAGCTTCAGGAGCGCCCGAGGGTTCAGGTAGTTGTCATCATCCAAGTGGCAAAACCAGCTGGGGCAGACAGGAAGACACAAGAAGTTCGTGGTGAGGAGGGTGCCTCTTGCTCTCAGGGGTCCCCCCACGGCAGCCCTGCCTCACCTCAGGCCGCTGGCCAGGAAGGCGTCGAACTCTGCAGCCATCTTGCAGGACAGGGCCAGGTGGCTGTGCTCAGCAGAGCAGTTGGTGAAGATCACATGGCCACCTGCCAGAGGAGGGAAAGCTCAGAGCCAGCCCACTTTGCACGGTCACAGGGAGGACATCTGGGCAGGAGGGAAGGGGTTTGTTCACAGACAGTCTCCTCATGGCCCCCCAAAAGGCATCCAAGCCCACAGCAACATGGGTTCCACTCCTTCCCCTACCAGGGGATGAAACCTGGACAAAGCTAAGCAACTTGGCCAAGACTAGGATGCCTGCCATCCACACTTCCACCTTGCCAACCATGTTGCAGAGGTTGAGGGACTCTGTCATGTGCTGCTTCTGCCCATGGATGCTTTAAAGCAGAGAGCACTCTTCCTCCAGTCAACTGCATGCCCTGGGTTAAGCCACACCACCACTGGAAACACGGCAAGGGGTGTGTTTTGATGGGCACTGCTGGGGCAGGACAGCCAGCCCTCACACCAGACCCCTCTCAAGGCCAGGGCAGTTCAGTGGCTGGAGGTGGAGTAGAAAGGTGGTGTCATAGGACAGGTCATTACCCATTCTGCTTTTCAAGGCACCGTCTTCTTCATCAGTGAAGATGTAGGTCTGGGGAAACAAGGAGAAGAGATTGCTGTCAGGGATGGAGCTGGTGCTGTTCCTGGCTGCCCACCTCTTCCTCCCACAGCTGGACACACTTGACATGGTTACCCCACTCCATCCTCTGCTGCTGTACCCACTCCCAGGCAGCAGATGATCAGAAGGATGGCTGTGCTCCCCCTTCCTGCAGGGCACAACCATCAGCGCTTGTGTGGCTTCATTTTCCCTCCCACCCCACTGCCTGGGGAACAGGGGTCCCATGACGCTGAGCGAGGGGGCGAGGAAGCCCTGGAATTGGTGTCAGTGGTAGAAAAATTAAAGCATTGTGGTTAAATTATGCTTGGGTTAAAAGAACATCTGCTTGTGTGTGAAGTGTGCACAGCCCCCTGCCACTTTCTGCCACCACCTCCTCCTCTTCCTCCACTCTCAGGCTCCTCTAATCCCCCTTGCTGCCATTATGTGGCACATCTCCCCCTCTTCAGAGCCAGGCGAGGATCAGGGCTGGTGGAGAAAAGCTTTCCTCAAGCAGAAAATGAGCTTTCATGAAATGAAAAAGGAGTCGCGAGCCATAAACAGTCTCCCCACCAGCTGCCCACAGGCTGGTTAAACACAGCACCTGCGCAGGCACAAAGGGAACAAGGCAGGCAGACAACAGCTCCAGCAGCCAGCACTGCTCCCCAAAGGCTCTGGCAGGGAGACACGAGTCTCTACATCTCCCCACACCCACTCAGCATTTGGGAGATGGATCCCTATCTAGAGGACACAGCAGGAGAAAAGCTGTGTACGTGAAAATAAGGCAATGAAGGACCCTCAGAGATCACCTGGCCCAAGCAGAGACAGCAGGACATTTGTGATCTCAGATGGATGAGCTACAGTGCTTGGTGAATTACCCTCCAAGAGCTGAGCTGCAGCAATGGAGCATGCACACATTCCTACCCCGCCCCACCAATAAAGTCACTTAGTTAAAATCACTTTCAAGAAGTAATTAACTAAGTCTTCAGGTAAGGGAACTGCTCTGGGTCAGGGGACCATATCACAACCTTCAGGCAAGGCAGGGACTGTCAGCAGCATGGGATTTCTCTTTCCAGCACGCCAGAGTTAGAAATTTCCACTCTGACAAATGTTTTCATCTTAAGAAAAACAAAATCTGAAACCATTGAAACTTTCTGACATTTTCATTAAAAAAAAACAAACAAAAAACCAAGAAATGTTATTGCTGGAAATTACTTGCTCACAGATATAAAACCAACTAGATACCACGTGTCTAACAAACATCTCATTTGATTGGCTTAAAATAGCAATCTGCACATTTTCCAAATTTTCTTGTAAAAATATTCTGAGGTTCCCAGTTTTCTCTTGATGCAAGATGGGAAATGGGCTTTTTTTTGCAGACATCCAACACGTTTCTGTGGAACCCAAGGATAAAAGTACACCGTCACCACAGGCAACACCAGACTGTCCAAAATAACTGGAAAATGGGAAATATGAGTGTGGGGACTAGGCAAGTATGATTTTTCTGGCACTTTCTAACTCTGATCTCTATGGCACACCTGTCTTTGCTCAAGAAATGCAAAAGAAAATCACAATAGCACATGCAGCTGCCTCCATCCTTCTCTCTCCATCCCTCACAACCCTGAGAGTGGGAAACCTGGAACAGCAGTTGCTGCCAGAGACGAAGCACAGAAAGTATCCCTCCGTTCTGGAGTGGGAAAGATGTCTATGTAGGAAAGGATGTCTGCTGGACAGCAGTGCCAGCAGTGATAGGGAGCCACTGTGTCAAGCAGATTTTCCTGGCAACTCTTCATGAACATTAGAGCCCAGGCAATGGATGAACACTAGACTTTGAGACCTCCTCAGCCCAAACTGGGGAAATAGCCTAGCAATAAAAAACTAGGAAAAGGGAATAAAGATACGGAACCTGACAATCCAGGGCCATGTTCATCGCCTAGGTTCCCAGGGTACCCCTTTTCTATGAAGAAACCCTCTCCAAAATGCAAACACATCAGCAGGATTACTGTTGTGTCCTGCACAGAAAACAGATTCAAAATCTGTGGTGCATTCACATCACTGAAAATCTGAAAACAAGTTCAGGATGGGCCATTCAAAGGTTTTATTTCAACTGGCTGTGTGTGTGGGCTTCCAAAAGGAGGGGAAGTGCTAGAAACAGTTCACGTTACCAAACCACAGAAAGCTGGACTTATCTCCATCAAAACTACTGGGGCCAGGAGTGTAAGTCACTCCAAGATTCCACCCAGCTAAACAGTCATCAGAACCCCCACTTCTATTTAGATTAAGCTTTTGCTGAGGAAAAGGCCTTTCACATCAATCTCCAGTGGGAAGTTTGTCATGGATCAGTTCTCAAGAGGCAGAGCATGGTCCAGCAAAGAGTGCCCATCTCCCACTTCCCCATCTCTCACCAACTGCATGATTTCAGATTAAACAGAGCATTTGCAGAGACAATCTCTCCCTCTCTTATTTTCTACCCAAACAGAGGATTTTTAATTCAGCTCCCATACAGTCTGTCCTTGCCATTAAAACCACAGCTGTTCCTGCCTCCTGTTACAGTCACCTAAGCCTGACCTGGGAGGTCTGGGTTGCTTCTTCCAGGAGGAAACCATGCAGTTCTCCAGCTCTGAAGCCAGGCTTGGCATCAGCAACACAACCAGCTGCTAAAATTTCCCTGCTGGCTACTGGTGGAGAAAGACTCACTGAATTGGTCTCCAGCCATGATTAAGGGCAAGTGAGACGTCAGTTGCTGGATCAGCCCTAGGAGAAAGCAGCCTCTGCACATCAGGACTTCAGAGACCTGAATTTCTCCAGGACTGGCTCCTAAAGCCTGTGTCTCTCCATAAGGACTCACTAATAGGAGGTCGGGTGCACTATTCCTTTCCCCACAACAATTAAATGTTCTTTGCAAATTGAAAGCTGTCCTTTTTTTGCTAAGCAAGGTTTTCTATATTGTCAAATTTTCTAAAACTAACCCTTTCCTGTAAACTTAAAAAAACCCTTAAGCAGGAATATATTAAAAAAAAAGGTTTTGATTTTTACGTACTTCTCTTTATCTCCCTTTCTGCTCCTACTCCACTTCCCTCAAAGCCATTTCATATAAAAAGCAGAAGAAAAACAACAAAAATTGAGGAGGAAGGAGGAAAATACTGAGCTTGCAACAAAAATTGATAACACTGAAAAAACTCTGTTTAAAAATGAGTGACACTCCCATTCTACCCCTTCCTTCCTACATTCCTGCTCAGTCTGTGTAGTTTTCCAGAGGCTGGCAGCTGCATGGGAAATTCAACACCTCTTCCAAGGTTTGGACATCACTTGCATGCCAGAGGGGATCAGATGAATCTGGGGAGCTAGTATCTAATTCCTGTCATCAGCAGAATGACCAGGCACTGATTTATCAAACAAAGGAGGGACAGCCGAATTGCTCCTTCAAAACCCACTGGGAAGGCCCCAGGAGCAATATCCTAATGCCAGTGCAGCCATGCAGTTGGGTTTGGCCTCTCCAAGGAGCTGCTGGGCTGGAGCAGGCCAGAGAGGAGAAGTGCATCTGGAGGAGGAAGAAGGGCATCTGAGATGCTGAGAGGGACACGCAGCCAGGAGAGGAAGCGTGCTCAAAATAGGACACGGCTTCCTGTGACGACCGCAGCAGACCAGACAGTTGCAGCACCATGAAATGGAAAACCACCCTTACCCAGAAAACTCTGCATTGCTTCAGGCACTCTCCTACCCAGTACCTCCACCCCCGTCCCCCTTCCTCGCTGGGGCCTGAATTTGCCTTATAGGCACCCATCACACACAGGCAGAGGCAAAAAAAACCACCCCTCAGGGCAGCCACAGGATTTCTTCTTTCTTGAGGAGCAGCTCTGCGAGGGAGGGAGGGAGGAAAGCACCGGAGCTCTGGGGAGTACTCCTGCCCACCAGTTTGCACAGCACCACTGATGTGGTGCCCCACATCAGTTTCTCTAGCAGGAAGGAAACTCTCCAAACTGTTCTAGCAAAGGATGGAAACATTGGGCCCCAGTTAAAAAAAAAAATAAAAAAATGAAAAGCACACCCACATCACCTCAAGATCATGCACATGAAAGCACCTGCCCAAGAATGGAAAGTATGGATTGTGCTGATGGTGCTGGGGGTTGAGCAGGGCTAACTACAGGAGGTCCTCCAGGAGCCTGCCCGCCTTGTTCTCTTGCCCACTGCACTGCACCTTTGCAGGGCAATGGGTGACCAGGCACAGTGTAGGCATCCTGGCAAAGGGCCAGGGGAGCCTGTCAGCTCCAAACCCAGCAAACTCATGGCACTAGGAGGTGGAAATGCATTTCATACAGACACAGGATGGTCTGTGCATTCAGTCTGACACGGCCTCTTCACCAGCCTGTCACATGAAGCAGTTACTGGTGAAACATTTTGCTGGGTACCATCTCCCTCTGAACATGAAGTGAGAAACAGAGAAAATGGGGCAAAGTACTGAGGGGCACTACAGTGCCCAGCCTCCCTCCTCTGGATTTTATCCCCTTGCCCTGACACCCCATCCTTTCCCCATTACTAACACCTTCTCTCTAGTCAGAACCCACACACTCACCTGTTCGCTGACCTGGGATATCCACGTGTCCAGGAGCAGCTCCATCCTGCTCTGGTGAAACCTCTTGGTTGTCTTCACAGCTATGAAAATGTCCCCAAGCGTCAGGCTGCCCTCACTCCTGTATACCTCCGGAGGATGGAGTTTGAGGTCCTTCTGCCCCCTGCCACCAACTCCCTCTGGGCTGCCTTCTCTCTGTTGCTCTGGCTTCTCCAACATCCCTTCCCAGAGCCCTGGGTAGCGAGCTGCTTCCCGAGCCCCAGGGTGCCACACAGAGAGGAGAGCCACGCTGGCGAGGAAGAGTGCGGCTCCGGAGACACCGTGGATGAGCCGGCGGCCCATGGCTCCCGAAGCGATGCCGCCGCAGCCAGAATCCTACGGAACGAGGACAAACTCTGCCTGTACCTCCGAGTGACGCTGTCCTGCTCTTCCCGAAGCCTCCGAAAGGGCAGGGTTAGTCAAGAGCAAGGTCTGGACAGGATGTGGTCAAGGAACAGGGTGGGCAAAGACCAGGAAGCCAAAGAGTCAGCAGACCTGAAGGATCCCGATGAAGCAGGGGGGCTGTGATTTTTCACAGACTACGGAGGGCTCAGTGACCCAGCGAGGCAGGGACACACGCCTGGAAAATACTCCGAGGAGACGGCACGTGGCTGGCACAGCCCGCCAGGAGGACAGCCGGCATCCCTGCTCCCGACGGAGAGGCCGAGTGTCCCGGGCTGGGGGTGGAGAGGGCGGCGGAGGAGATCAGAGCCATGGCTGGGCAGGCTGGACCATCAGC